ATTTATTTACTATGCTTGGGAGCTTAGCCCATAATAGTATGGGCTCACTATACTAGATCAGCCATTTGTGAGAATGCTCTCTATGAATTTAGTTGATGTTAATTCCTGTTTTCTGTAGCTTTACCAAAGTATAGAAAATAGATTTGATTTTACAAGGCATGAGAAGATACATAGCATATGACTTGCTCACATTATTGGTATACCTGGAAAAACATCAGAATATGAGGGTAATTCTGACATGTAGCCATGTGCCCAAAACCTGGCCATCAAGTCCATGATACGCAGGTGCAATGAGTAAAAAATTGTAAAAAAAAAAAAAAAAAAAAAAAAAAAAATCTAAGATGGTGCCTATGTTATGTTTATATGTAATGGTAAATTTCAAGATTTATAAATGGTCCAAATGAAGTATATGAAATCTTTTGTTTTAGTAGAGAATCAACAAGAGGTGCAGTGCGCTAATAAAATTTGTGTTATAGTGCGCAGGGACCTGTATTTTTGCTAAAACTAGTTACAAGCCACACATTCAGTCAGTAGGCAAGTAAAATGGTCTCAGCTAGAAAAGTGTGCCTAGTAAGCTAGTGAACTTTAGCTGAAAGGTTAAGAGATAGATGTAAAAATATTTTTACTTTCTAATTTCCTATTAACGTTATAGTTATTGTATATTATAGTTACCAGTGTTTCTAGTAGTTCATACCAATTGACTGGCAAGAGACTACAGGATTTTATCTCAGATCCTATCACACATACATATCTTAATTCATCATTATCATAATTTTAGATTACTTGTGATAGTTATTTTGAAGACAAAAAAATGTACTGAAAAATGCAACCTTGTACTTTTATTAAGTGAGCTAAAAAGAAATGCCATTTGTGAAGATAAATGAAGTTAAGATAAAATATATTAATGTTGTTTTATGAAAAATGAATGTATAGTGAAGAGACCTAGAACAAAATTTCGTACTTGAAATCAAATAAAATTTGTAAATAATTCCATGTTGCCATTTATATGTCTTAGTAGTGTGGTTAAGAGGGCCATTGCAAGGAATTTTCGACCATTTTTAAAATACTCGAAAGAAGATCTTATCTAGTAGGCTTTGGCAATCCCATGACGTAATGTTTCTGCTAAATATGTAGAAATAAAGGAGTTATGACTAAATATCTGACCCCCCCCCCCCCTCTGGCTCTGATGTTTACTTGGTCAAGTTCGTGCAAATATGCTCTACAGATTTTTTTTGGATTTTTTGAAATTTTATTTTGGTGTTCTCTGGTAGCTAGCTGGCAATTCTGCTTCCTGAATCAGCTGACAGCCATGACTAAGAGTCAAGGCGGGCAACCAGAGAGTCAGAGTGAGAGGCTGCACATCCTATGCCTCAGCGTGACACCGTCCCTGATGCACCCTCATCACACACTAAGAGGACACTACTAATGATAGATGTTATTCCTGTAACTAATAAACATATGATGAGAAATACATCTCTATCACACCTGCAGCAGTTGTAATTTTTTAAAGAGTTAAAAATTAACTTTATACTATAACAAAGTTAACTTTATATTTTATACTATAACAAGGTTAACTTCATGGCCTGTACTTTTAAAACCTTTCGCCAGTGCTGACGAAAGATTTCGCCAGCACTGGCGAAATTTCTTACCATTAAAAGCATGACAATTGTTTGCCAGGCAAACATTCGCCAGGGCTGGCAAAAGATAGTATTGGAACAGGCTGGCGAAGCAAAGTCGCGAGAGCCCTTCCTTTCATGTGTTTGAATACCATTTTCTTGCTTTCAAATTATTAATTAGTAACATATTTGTGTATGAAATGATATAGGAATCACTGCAATTTTAAAATATGGTAACATCTAAACATGTTTGGTAACATTTGTGAAAAGAACATTATCCCTACAACCAAAATAACAACAACCTAAATCTAAATAAGTCACCTCAGGGGTGGGGGGGAAGGTATACAGATGATGCTTGAGCTCTTGACTGGACCATCGAAGGTCTTGAAAAAGCTACATATATGTTATTTCATAATAAATTACGATTTTAAGATATTTTAAAATTGCAATGTGATTCCTGCATCATATACACAAATATGCTACTAATTTATAATTTGAAAGCAAGAACACGGTATTCAAACAGCTCTCATGACTTTTTCTTCGCCAGGCTGTTCCAAAACGATCTTTCGCCAGCCCTGGTGAACACTTGTCATGCTTTTAATATTACGAAATTCACGATCGCCCGGCGGAGCTTTTTGCCAGCGCTGGCGAAAGGTTTTAAAAGAACGGGCTTAAATGTTGCTCTTTTTCATTTCTTTCATACAGTACTTTCACCTTGTGTTTTATTGTCATAAGGCTCATTGTAACATTGCTGTTCTGATCTTGATTCCATTTTCCCCTCCATTGAATCACAATGTTATTAGACTGCCTTGCATGTTAGGAAGTAAGAGGCAGTTAAAGTAAAAGGTGAGGGAGGGAAGGGCAAGAGGTGTTCCAAATCTTCA